GAAGAACAAGCTGTTTCCCTAGGGGACGGATTCCCTTCACTGATAGATTAGAATCATTCAAATGTTGGTTCATGGATTCACCTCTGAATATTTTGCTTCTAGAGTGCCCACTATATGGGCTATCACGACAGAGTATCCAGAGAAAGGAGATCTCCTTTCCTTAGGAGATAATGTTAAGTCAATTTTGCCAAAGAAGGTCAACAAAATAATTTTTAACAGAAAATGAAGAAACAAAAAAACAAGAGTGGAGTGAACCTATTGCATTTTAGACATAGTCATTTGCAGTTACTTGTTTCAAATTTCCCGTTTCTGACACTGCGGAAATGAAAAGAAGCAAAACTCGGTACTTACGGTTTCCACAGTTGAATCCACCTAAGCCGAACGGGCAGCTGGTAACAGAAAACAACAGGCAGTTTCAGCAGCTTAGTTATGCCAACAGATGACCAAAGCAGTATTAAGAAGGATGGTGGGGTAGGAGGGGGGCAGAACAGTCACCATACCTCACACAGGTCTCGTTTTCCAGCTTATATCCATCTTCACAGGCTAAAAGCAGAGAGGAGAGAAGGGCCATGAGCACCGCGTAGTGGGCAGGGGAGGCATTTCCCATCGCCGCTTCCCACGGCAGCCTCACCCCAAACCACCTTGGGGACCAACCGGCCGGTCTGCGCTGCTGACACAGCAGGAACGCGATGCACTCTGATGTGATGCAATATCTCCTCTGGTTTAGGCAGAACACCGTGCACTTAAATTCACCTCCCGCTGGCTTTGACAGGACCATTTCAGGGCTTCCCGGCAGAGCTAGCCCAGGGCCTGGCACAGGCTGGGCAGCTGGTAACATCGTTCCCAGCAGAACCTCTTCTTGCCCAAATGGAAACTCGCTGCACATTTGTGCTGCTTCCCACAAAACAGCTGTGTAAAAAATCTGCAAGTGCTTCCAGTTTTTGTTTTGAAACCTCATTTGAACAGTGCTACTTTAGCATTGATGCACGTTATTCATCACTTTTAAATGTTAGTACTGCAACAGAATGTTACGCAAACACAGTCCGGGTAACCCAAAGTGGTATGTTATGTTTTGCCTCATGTCACCTTTTTTTTCTTCTCTTTCAAATTTGGAGCTAAATCAAATGTTGAAATATCATATTTTACTCTAGAATAGAAATTAAATTTACTAGGTCTAAATAACCCAGAAAATGGCTATGTACAAAATGCTGGTGAAATACTGAAACCATCGCTTCAAAATAAATAATTTCTGTGCTTACGGACAGCTATCTCATCACCTGAATTATCGGAGAAAATTATACTACTCTTCTGATGACCAGCGTGATGCTACTTTGGACATACAATTCTAAGCTTCCGATTACTGATAAGATCACCGCTTTTCTCAGCAGCAGTCCCACCAGAGCTCCTGAAGACCCACTGCCTTTTGTAGAGGCAGCTCAGACAGAGACCTGGGGAGGAGTGACACAGATGGAGTCACTTTGGGCAGAGGGACAAACCGGGGCCAGCACATGCAGCAGCCCTTGGGAGTCTGCAAGACATCACGCAGAGGCCTGGAGAATCCCTGCAACACACTCCACAGGGAATAAAGCTAGGTTATTAAGAGAAATAAAACATCCCTGTGGATTTTTTCCTCTCAAACATCATATGTTTAAAAATGTTGAGGCAAGAGCTCTCAAGTCCTCTTCCCTCTGCCTTGTTCTCTAACTGTAGGGCTAACCTGCACCTGAAAGCTCGGGTGCTCTCTAACCCCAGCAAGCATGAGGAAATCTGCGGCGAGAGGAGGGGGTTTCCAGCAGAGGTCCCAGCTAAGGTGCAGCAAAGCCCTCGTCTCCTGTCCTCCTCCTCTGCTGCTCCCAGCACACCAGATGACTTTTCCCATCTGGCACAGCCAGCAACTGTATTTTCAGATGCACTTAGTACAGGAGGGGAGGAAGGAAGAAAAGAAGTACAAATGTGTGACTTTGTCCATTAGGATGAGCTGGTAATATCAGAGTAAACCAAAAGAGAACACTAGTTTTCTGGCTGGATTCAGAAGTTTATGGCTCTTCCAGAACCAAGTGATATTGATGCCAGCAGGGAGCAATGTGACTGTGACCTCCCTCTCATAATACAGGTCACAGAACTTCCCTAAATTTAATTTCAGTTTGAAATCAAATAGTTGAACTGGAGCTACATTTTAGAGAATCATCCAAGATTGATTTTAATATTTTCAGTGACGGGCAGTCAACCACAACCCTGGGTCAGATGCTCATAAAGTTAATTTCCCCAGCCATTAAAAACATTCACCTTCTTTCTGGTCTGAATTATCCCAGTGTCAAATTCCAGCCTTTGGATGTTTTCTTGCTAGACTGGGAAAGGTTATATGATCACATTTCTCCTCTTCACCATCAAATCACTCCTTTGCCTTTAACAAAGCCAAGTGCACTGAGATCTTTGAGTCTCCCTGGTTATTGCAGCTTTGCTCTGCATGCTTACAGGTTCTCTTTGACCCTTTTGATTTCTGCTTCCCAGAAACAGATGTCACAAGCCCAGGGATAACAAAACTTGGGTCCAGAGAAGGGCAACGAAGATGATCAGAGGCTTGGAGCATCTCTCCTATGAAGACAGGCTGAGAGAGTTGGGGTTGTTCAGCCTGGAGAAGAGAAGGCTCTGGGGAGACCTTATAGCAGCTTTCCAGTACCTGAAGGGTGCCTACAAGAAAGCTGGAGAGGGGCTTTTTACAAGGGCATGTGGAGACAGCACAAGGGGTAATGGCTTCAAACTGGCAGAGAGTACATTTAGATTAGGTATTAGGAAGAAATTTTTCACTGTGAGGGTGGTGAGGCACTGGAACAAATTGCCCAGGGAAGTAGTGGATGCCCCATCCCTGGAGGAGCTCAAGGCCAGGCTGGATGGGGCTTGGAGCAATCTGGTCCGGTGGGAGGTGTCCCTGCCCATGGCAGGGCAGTTGGAACTAGACGATCTTTAAGGGCCCTTCCAACCCAAACCATTCTGTGAAAACCTCGCCTCTTCTGCCTGCCTGTACCCCCTAAATGCTGGTCGGGACCATACTAGCCTTACAAGCCAGAGCTGGGGAACCCTTCTTTATCTGCCAAGCCCCCTTCACAGCTCTGCCCAAGTTCCTGCTTTACAGGAGAGTGCTTGGCACTCTGCTCTTGGCTGCCTGGCCTTGCTTGGGGTCATATCTAAATGCGGTTTGCCTATATCCCATTTACAAAGCATCTCATGTCACTAAGCATGCCTTTTTCCCTGCAGGGTGTGTTGATGCAGATGAGTGATGCACTCACATCATGAATATTGCAGGTCTACGCACAGACTTGCTGTAGCAACAGGCACCAATGATGATGGGGAAGTTGATGTCCATTACAGCTGGTCTTACATCCCTTTCTCTGCCCTATGTAGCCTCACTGCTCCTCCACCACCTCTTTCGCTCTTTTTATTCCCCCAGAGCTGGGGATGGGGAGGGTGAGGCTCTTTACATAGCCGCTCTGCCACATCTCATCATCATGCTTTTTGCACCAGATTTATTTTTCTCTCTCTAAGATGGTTTCTTTGAAGTCAAGGAAGGGACAAGAGGTAACCGGACAAGAGTTAAGAGCCTCAGTCATATAACACCCAGGGCAAGAGTAGTAAATCCCAAAGGATCCTTGCCTGGCTCATTCATAACACCGAGGCATTAGCAAAATGGGACGGGATGGGGTGCTCCTTTCACTCGCTAACAAAAGCAGACTGAAAACATTATGGAGTAAATGTTCTACCAAAGCGAGCCACAAGATCAGGCAATAATGAAGTCTGCAGTAAAGCGGTGGGAGGCATCACCTCAACAGCTCATTGGAGTTGCCTTCTCTAATAAGTGCAGCAGCCCCGTGTACGCTAGTGTCAGCCCCAGCCCCAGCCTGCTGCGTGCGCGTTGGGAAGGCCTGCAGGCAGATGCTGGACCTCAGCCTAATCTCAGCCCCTCAGCCCTAGCCAAATAATGTGTGTAGGGCACGTACACCTTGAGCGGACCCAAAGCTGGAGCCATGCCTTGGGCAGGAGCAGCGCTGGGACCCCACTGGCACACAGCTCTCACGCCAGGTGGCTAGAGGGGCGGTAAAGAGGAAAAGCAAGATCCTGAACATGCATCTCTGTCTTACTTAAATGGTCAGGGCTTACGTGTTTTCCTCTCCTCACCCAGGCTTTTCCTGCCGCTTTGCTTTCTCCTCTGGCATCTTTCCTGCTCTTTCAAACATGTTTCCAGGAGAGCTCGCGCTGTCACACTCACTCAGCAAGCTTTCAGACGTGAGCAGGGAACAGAGGAAAGTGTCAGGGGCCAAGCAAAGCTATTGAGCTGTGCTTTTCTACTCGGGATTCCTTTGCTTTTGCCTTCCTGAAAGAGACTCGGGGGTCTCTTTGGAAACCTGCTTTGCTGCTCCTTGCTTAGCTCTGGAAACGCTCTGTACTATTAAAAATAGCATGCCCTGGAAAAGTTGGCACATTGGGTTTGTCGCCCTGTTTCTAAAACAGCCCTGAACATACTGGGAAGATGGAAGACCAGCAACAACCCACAGATGACTGAACTGCATGCCGAGCAGTACCATGGCCAACGTGTTGAAACTCGCATAGCTCAGAGACCCAACCCTTCCTTGGTCCAGGGGACGATTTTTCGAGCATGCTCCAGGGGACAGACACTGCAAAGCAGGGCAAAACAATCTCTGGGGTCAGGGCGGCTGATCCCCCATGCCCTAGTGGCTCTCCCAGCTGTACCCGCCTTCCCACGGGGTAGACCGGACAGGGCAACACAATAGCCGTTTCCCTCTTTGCAAATATTATAAATGGAGTTACTGCACCACATTTTCACGACCCACAATGAGGGTCAGATGCTCAGAAGACCTTGGTTCCTGTTTAGTCATTAAGAGGGCAGAGATTTTCAAAGAGGTTGGCATATTGTATGCTATATTTATCACAAAATAGCCCTAAATATCAAATGAGGGCCAAAAGTTGGCTTTTGAAAAATCCTTTAAAAATCTGGCTTACCCAGACGGGGAACAAAGTGATGCTGAAAATCTGGTATCTTGCCAGACCGTGGCACCTTGCAGTCGGTGCTGCCCTCACGCCACTGCACTGCAGCCTAAATCCTGCATCAACCGTGTCCCTCAGACACTCTCAAGCTGGTCAATAAGATGTTCCCGACTGACAGCAGAGAGCTGAAGATGGAATTGAGGCCCCAGTGTGTGCAGGTTGTGTTTTTTATACTTTGCACAGCAAACAAGACCCATAAGTAGGGAGTAACCACATGCACAAGATGCTAGATGCCCTAGCTCTCTGCAATCATCACAGCCAAGCGCCTCATAGCCTTTCAGGTATTTATCTTCACAACACTGCTTGGCAAGGGACACAGACAAGAAAAATGGAGTAACTCATCCTGGGTACCCACTGTCGGTGGTGGAGCAGGAGTTGGGCAAAAGTATCCCAGGTTTCAGCTCAGCTCCCTGCTCACTGCATGAGCCCTTCTCTGCCTCCCAAGGGTAGGTGGAGACAGTCAATATTTCCTAAAAAAAATCCTTCCCCCAACATACAAGATGAAGAGAGGGAAGGAAAACACAAAGGAGAAAGGTTTTGCCTGGAGCCACAGAGCAGAGGAGAGTCAGGACCCAGAAATGCCCATTTCTGAAATGTCCATCCCAGAGCCTGCAGCACATGAGTTATTTCCAGACACATTTTTCTCACTTTCTGATCAGATTTGGAATTGACAAAGCATCTCCTCCTATTTCAACAGCAACCCAGCGGGCACTGCTAGAAACAATATACAACCACTACTGCAATTCTTACTATATGTCATCAGAAAACTCCATTTCTTAAGAAGCCCTACAATGACCACTGGAACTAGGGAACCCTGATTCTACAGAAGTCATTTTGACCACTGGCACATGGACAAAGACCTTGTTTAAAAGGTAGCAAAAACGGGTTTCATGATCTGAGAAGTAGGTAAAATATAATATAACCTTTAAGCTTAAAATTTCTATTAGGAAAACAGCTGACAAATGAATTCATAATAATTGTCAGATACTTAAAGTATTGATCATGTATTAATATAAGCTCATGATTTTAAAGCACTTGTCCTAAGTTCGCTGAGAGTTCAGACAAAATCAAAACAGGCAGAGCCACACGTCATCTCTGCTCTGTGCCACTGAACTGGAGCCCAAAGCAGCCGGGCCCCTTTCTCCCTCTTCTCGATCACTGTGACTCACAGCATGCTCCAGAAAGAGATAATATTATTCCTAGAGAGAGACTGTATCTTCAGTGTCTGCTGAAAAGTCCCCTAACTAAACAAAAGAAACTTGAGCTGTTAATATTTATTCATAATATTGAGCTTCTTGCATGCACAGGGATACACAGACACACTCATTTCCACTGGAACGAGAAGTTTAAGCCAAATTCAGGCAAAATACACCACACAAAGAGCAATACCTCTGCAGGAGTGGTCCATCTTGTTGTATTTGAAGTACCCACTTTTGCATTGGCAGAGCGCGACCCCATCAAAGTCGGTGCATTCAGAAGTTTCCTTGTCGCATTCGGGGTCTTTCTGCTTGCACAAGCTGCCAACTGTCGGGAAGAGGCAGCCAATGTCAGCACGATTCTCTCTGAACCCACCATCATCCCCGTTTGCTTTCCCCAGGCATCACATTCAGCTCATGCGCTGCTTTAATCTCCTTTCTTTTTTTTTTTTAAAAAAAAACAACATTTGTTCCATTAGGAGACAGTCAACACTACACTATGTCACCATCTCTTGCATACCTACCGTCGTTTGTACAGGCAAATAGAGGGGGTGAATGATAAATATTTCAGCTCAGAGGCAGAAGGGGAAATGAAAAAGAAAAATTTGGTTTGGCTAAAGCTGAAACACATTCACCCCCTGAGACAGTTCAACAAATCGATTTTTAAGTTTATATCAAGCAAAACATTTTTCTCAGCCCAAACCAATTTTTTTCCATTTCAATATTAAGCACTAGATTTTTTCATTTTTCAAAGAAAGAATCTGTCTTTTGATTTACATTACTTTGAAGCAGTGTTTTACTTTAGAAAGTCAGATTTGTTACAATGAGCATTTAGGAAAACTGTGGGCAAATGATGGAAATTGTGTCACCAAATTAACATTTTTTACGGGGAGGTCAGACTAAGTGGAATGAACAAATGAAAAAATATTCGTAAGAAATAGGATTTTATGGAAAACGTGTCACTCGTTTGGCACTCACCTTTTATAAAACTGTCCCTCCTAGATCCATCGTCCTTTTTTTTTTTTTTATCTGACAACTTTTCTTTTAAGTGCTTACACAAGAACATCATTTGTTTCTCATTCTGCTTATTTTAAGTTAGAAATAGGCTTCACCACAAGCATTGTATCAGAGGTAATGGCTAGATATAATCTGAGAGGGTCTACCAAAGTAATTTAATTCAATCCACAGTGGAGTGCAGCTTGAAAATACGGCACATTAAAATAAAAGCACACACTAAATTTCTCATCTTCATGTTTAGCTTGCCAAAACAATCCAAGGGGTTTCCCACTAGACCCAGGCTAAGCACTGCCACCCTTCATCCTCAAAGCCAAACCTCGAAGCCTTGAACTCCGAAGTGGCAGAGCTCCTTGCAGGAGCCCGTCTTTCAAGGGTACTCACTCCCTGCATCCTGCCGGTACCTCTCATGGCTAAATCTCCTCTATCACACCCTCGTAAAGCGAGGACCAGGAGGTGCAAGGCACAGGGCCACCACCACTGTATGGGGTCCACCTGGAGAAGGTCCTGCACAAGGTCCTGATGTTCTTCTCCAGGTCTCTCTGTGCTGCACCCACATTCCCCTTCGGCAGGTAGAGGTTTTGGGACAGAAATCAAAAGCTCTTAATTGTGAACCATTTTGACACCCTGCAACACTGAAATTGGGCAGTCAGGAGAGCGCAGCTCTCTGCTGTCGTGGTTTCAGCTGGGATGAAGTTGACTTTCTTACCAGGAGCTGGTATAGTGCTATGTTTTGGGTTTGGGATGGGAAATGGTGTTGATAGTGCACTGGTGGTTTGGGTTGTTGCTAAGCACTCAAGGCCTTTTCTGCTCCTCACGCTGCCCCACCAGCGAGCAGGCTGGGAGTGCACGAAAAGCTGGGAGGGGACACAGCTGGGACAGCTGACCCCAACTGACCAAAGGGATATTCCATATCTGGGGTAAGAAGGAGGAAGGGCTGGGGGGGTCGTTCGGAGTTATGGTGTTTGTTCTTCCCAAGTAACTGTTACGTGTAATGGAGCCTTGCTTTCCTGGAGATGGCTGAACATCTGCCTGCCCATGGGAAGGGGTGAATTAATTCCTTGTTTTGCTTTGCCTATTCAACTGTCTTTATCTCAACCCACGCCTTTTCTCACTTTTACTCTTTGGATTCTCTTCCACATCCCAGCCTGGGGAAGTGAGCGAGTGGCTGCGTGGTCCTGGTTGCTGGCTGGGGCTAAACCATGACACCCACGTAGCCTCCAGCAGCTCTAATCGACTTCACTGGGGGGACTTGGCTTTCACGCCGTTTCCCCAGCTCCTGGCTGAGCGGGTGGAATTAAGACTTACGGGTTTTTGTTCTGGCTGGGGCCCGGTGTCACATCCTGGAGATGAAAGGCTGCCCTACAATGCCTCTAATCCTGTGCTGCATGATGTTTTCACAGAGAAGCAGATTTCTCACACATGTGGTGAAGATAAGGCTTGATATCTGCATCCCTTTTGTACTGCAGAGCTCTTAAGATGACTCTCATTTATATAAGATAAAAAAGATTCAGAGGGATTTTACCAAACACCAAAATCTTTCTCCCTCTCTTATAAAAGGAGCCAAATAAAACATCCATTTCCCTTCCCATCACAGTTCCTCCAGATGTTATTTACCTCTGTGGAGTGGTTTCAGGCTGGAGATGAACTGGCAGGCTTCAGTGGGGGATTTGCAAGCTCGAATGTAGCTTTTCACGGTGCTGACAACATCGTAGAAAGTCACGTTGGATGCTAAAGAGAACGTGGATTGCACTGAAACATGCACAAAATTTGCCTCCCTGACAGAAAACAAAACAAAACAGCCCTGAGTACCACAGGTCAGTCTGATGTCATTGTTAGCACATAGGATTCTTATTAAGTTGCACTATATGTAGGACTCTTATTAATGCAAGCAATGTTTATCACAGACACAATATTGCAAACATACTGAAGGAGCCATGCATTGTAACAGACCCTAAAAACAGGACACAAAAAACTTATGCACGGAAAGACAAATTTGGGGCTGGAAGGTAGCTCACTTTGAAACCAGCCATAAATCCCTCCTGAGAAGCACACAAGCCCATCCCCAAGGCGCTCAGGCCAGGAGGAGGGTACCAGGAGAGGCAGGCAAGGTGGTCAGGCATTCCCATGCCCTGCACTACTGCCAGGATGGATCGCATCAAGTCCAGCATGGACTCAAAATGGAGAACATGGACCTCAAGTTGAACATCCCGAATGCTCAAGTTTCTCACTCTTCCCCTCGTAGCCTTAGCCTTACCTGGTCGCCTTAACCGTGGAGTGGTGGTACCCCGGCAAGCCCGACAGTGATGTGTCAAGCTGCAAGGAAGGAGAGAGAAGCTGTTAGTGCCCCGTGATGCAGATGGATGGAGGGAAGCAGCCTGGTGGGATGCAGTATGGGACGGCCCTCCTGGGTCACTGACACCATCCCCTGCATTCGCCAGAGCCACCTGCTGAGGCCAAGGGGGCTCTGAGCATCCCAGCAGATCATCTGCTCGATAAGAAAGATGCACCGTCCTGTTGCCAGCGAGGGACAGCTGAAGACACCATTTCACAGCCTTGGACAAGAATAAAGACCTGAGGGTTTTGACACGAGGATCTGCCTGAGGCCCCACTGTGCGATGACCACCAAGGCCAAAGATGAGCCAGAAGCTAGTGGGGAAAGAGCCCCGGGTGAGGCCAAGCTCAAAGTGGCACCTTTGGAGACTGCTCATCTTCCAAGGAACCTCCCTCTCCCTGGATCCATGCGGTTGTTTGTGCTCATTCCCCAGCACAAGCCGTGCAGGCAGAATCAAGGTGACTCACCCCAGTTTCCCCCTCCTTTGGCGGCATCTCCAAATCACCTACTCCAAAAAGAGTTGGGATGAACTACAGCCAGCCCAGGAACTGCTAACAGGACAAACACATGCATGCCATGATCTGGCTAAATAACGCACAGAGATGTACCTATCACCAGCCCACGGGTCTTTCTGGAGCAACTGATTGCACAGTGTATTGGGAAGCCATCAGCACACTCAGGGCTTCCTCTGAACAGATCGGGGGACATGTGGTTGCAATAGCGTGTCTGGGAAACTCCAGCAAGGGGAAGGTATGTTTGAATGGGTGCAGCTGCTATGCTTCATCCCATGGGGTTTGGCTAAAAGCAAGGTGGCACCAGCTGCAGGCACCAACCCGCCCCAGGACCTGAGAGATTTACTGACAAATGATGAAGTCCAGAGTTACTGTTTTAATGCTTGACCTTGGAGGAGCACTAATGCCCTTTTGAGGTCTGGAAAAGGCAATGCAGCCAGAAGACACTAAGCAAGGATGGAGGCTACAGAAGTATGAACCCAACCACACCATTTCACAAAAAGGGCTTCAGGATTTTTTGAGCAGTTTTGCTGTCTTAAGCCCCACGGGAGCTGTATCTCTTCACTGCTGTCTTGAAACCCTGGGCAGGGCAGGGGAGAGAAGCGTGCTGGGATTTAAAAGCGTAGATCTCACTAGTCCTACTTATACCAGACCAGGATGGTTCAATGATTAAAAAGGCTAAATCCATGCTACAGCCTTGTGGCTTCCCATGACAACCATAAGAGGAGCAAAGGGGACCTGTCCCATCAGCATTGCCAAGGGCCCGGCAATGACACTCACCATCGTCAGGATTTCATCCTCGACATGGAGGAGCTCTGCATACTTCCCATGGGTAACATTAGGCTTCAGGGGGACCTGGCCGATAAATATTCTTACTAAAAAGGAGAATAAGACAAGTTAGTAGGAACACACGTCTCCATGCCATGTGTAGCTGCGGTTTCATATGCCTTACATGAGAGTGTGTCTGCATGGAAAACCCCTTCATGCAGCAGATAGAAAACTCGAATCTGACAGTCACTGCCCTGATAAAGCAAAGTCTTACCCTTGGGATTTTTCCCAAGGGTTGCTGTGATGTTCCCACAGTCCCAGTCAAATTCCAGAGCTCAATGCTGCTGAACAGCCAGCATTTCACTGCAGAGTTCATACATTTCCTATAGAAAAACTGACTAATTTACAAAGACCCCTGAACACAGAAAGAGCTGGGTAAGTTTATTAACAAGATAGTTTCAGGTACCAAAGCTATTTATAATAATTTGGGGTAAACGTGTCAAATCTCTTACACCTCCCTCTCATGGAAGGAAAGCAAACCAGCAAGTCAAAATAAAGCACTTCAGAAAGGACGTTTTCATTTTTCAAATTGTTGGACAGAATGAGCAATGACATATGAAAAGAGGTCCAAAAGATGCATTTTTCTGAGCTTAGATTCACATTTGATTCATGGCAGCAGAACACAATAATCAGAGTTGTCCAGACTCAGCGAGATAATATCCCTAAATCTTGTATTAAGTGTCATGAGATACTCAGTGGAAATGAGAACTCAGAGCTCCAGTTTTATGTTCCACCAGAAAAACAAATATGGTTGCAGATAACATTATAAAGCCTCGAATTCTTTCCCATTTTTTCCCATCCACAGAGCCTGTCTTCATCACAAATTTTATATCAGACAGCTCTAATGTAACAACTCCAGGTAAAAATAATCACCTTTTCGTTATTTGTATAATCTGCCCATATCCCAGTTCAAGGCATAATCAAAACAATACTCTAAATTAGAAGCTGACACGTTCCAATTCGAAGAAATGTTTCAAAACACCCTTCAGGGACACCTCACCCATGTTTCCTTAGCAAAATTTCCATGCCTCTAATCCGCACTGATTAAGGGTCAGAAGAAACTCTAGCAAAACAAATTCCCCTTTACAATGGGACATTGTAAGTCCTTGAGATTGAGTCCTCTAACAGAAAGGAGGGGGTCGGAACCCAAGTTCCAACTAATAACTGTGCTGCATGAAAAATGCGCAAGGTATGAAACAAGACCTCGATCTTACAAAGACTTTCACGGCTGCTTAATTTTCCGCATGTGGCTGATCCCACTGCAGCCAGATTACACAATAGCCCCACTCACTTCTCCCAAGCCAAGCGTCATTGCCCAGGTTTGCAGGAGTGGGAGCTACGATACTCTGCTGAACGCTTTTTTGGGGGGGGTTGTAAAACACATGAGGAACAGAAGGGGCACATCTGTCCTCACGAACAAGCCTGAGCCCACCGCTCTGTTGCTGTGTTTTTAAGAAACCCTCAGCTATCACTGCGCCTGCTTCCCGGGGCACCCCAACACGCCAGGCGTTAGACACTGCACTTGTATAAACACTAAAAGGCTCTTGTTAAAAGTGATGGTTGAGAGGAACATTAAGTTCCTGAACTAGTCTGCACCTAGGTTGATTTGTTTTAGAAGATTACAGATAATTATTTCCATCTTTTTTCTCCCTTGGTTTTTCACTTTTGTTTTCTTACCTAAATTGCACTTTCCTTTTTCCAGCTCATATCCAAGAGGACACTGACAGATATAGGAGCCATGGGTGTTGTTGCAGGTGGCCAGCGCAGGGCAAGGGTTGGAAAGACATTTATCCACATCTACAAAAGCAGAAAAATAACAGACTATAGTTACAGAATCACAAAAATCATCAACTGTTGGGCTAAAAAAGATCAATTTCGCTCCTCTTTGTTGACCCCCTGAGCATTATCACATGCTTCATAGCATCATTTGCACTTACTATTTATCTGCTTCTTAATTACTCTGTTGGAGCTGAAAGAATAAATAAAAAACACTTTCTCCTGAATATTTATTCAAAAGCTCTTGGGATCCAGTGTTGATCCCTGTTAATATCAACACCCAGCTTGCCTACAGCATTGCTCATCTGCAGATCTCTGGGTGCTTTCCAAAGACAAACAACCCTACAGCTACAGATGGAGGGACCAAAGAAGGGACCTTGTCAGCCAGAGCTAGACACAGGAGCACAGGCTCCTTCACCGAAGTCCTGCCCTTTTCATCCAAGCCCTGTTTGGATGAACCAAAAGTTTGTGCTTGAACACTGATGCAGTCTGTAGATTACCTAGCAGTGGTGGAGGCAGCCTTGGCTGCCATCCCCTCCTTTACTGGGGCTGCAGCCTCCTACGTGCCAGGTTGGGACAGAGCGACAGCAGCGACATCTGCCTTCTAATGCACTTCCCGCTGCGTCAGCAAGGGCTTAGGGAAAAGACGCCAACTGTGAAATATGGTGTTTTGGGGGATTAATGACAGTAGTCTCAGGTGTTTCACAGATTAGACAACTCAAACGGCAAGTTCTGGAGGAGATATCCAATACCTCCCTCTGAAAAAAAACCACCTCCCGGTCAAAAAAGCTCCTCTTGCTGTGCATATGACTCACATGAGCACAAACGTACATCACACACACATGCAAAGGCAGACCGTAGGCAGGACTGTGGACTTGTTGGTGACAAGATGCTACAAGATGAGAAAGACAGCTTACACACCACTTGCACCTATTTTGCAACTGCTGCCGAGCGCTGCAGCAGAGGCAGGAAGGATGGGCTTTGTGGTTAAAGAACAAAGCACGAGAGCCAAACCCGCGTGTGTACTTCTGACAGCACCGCAATGCCCCGTGGTATCACGCAGGCCCTGCAGGCCAGACAGTCCCAAGCTGACCTGGAACACACCATTTGATGCGATCTCTGTGTCTCAACTAGCCTGGCACGACCACATCAGCATCAATGAGAAAGAGACTTGGGTGTCTAAGCAGCCAGAAATGACTGGGTGTATTTTAAAACATTGGCTTTCACTTTGCCATCCCTCAGTTTGAGCTTTGTACAGTGGGGACCAGAGCAGCTTCTTGTCTCGTGGCAGTGAGTGCCAACGTACAAAGCACCACGTCTCAGGGAGCAGAAGGATCTTTTTCATTCTGGTATATGGCAAAACTCAGTATGAAAGGAAAGAGTAACTTGTCAAAAGTGTGAATCAGTTGGTAAAAAGGACATATTACATTTGTTTTGGATAAAAAGTGCATTCCCTTACAGTGAATTTTTTTGCATGAAGCCATAGCTATAATTAAAACCAATCAGCCTGAGAAATAATATCTAAATACTTAATTATTGGATGGAATATATACTATTGCCAGTACTTCACTATGATTAATGCAATTAGCACATAGAATATCCTACAGTGGCATGAGGGCCAGGCTCCTGAACTTTAAACACAGAATCAATTTCCATTCGTATAAAACTTTGCTCAACATATTTACTTGAGAAGATAAGGAGCCTGGCAGCAATAATAAATGATTTTAACAATGCACTGAGTCAGACTACAGTATATAGCCTTACTCGTATGTACAGTACAGGAGAAGCAACAGGCCCTTGAGCAGGAGATTATTTAGTGAGGTGGGGAGAAAACGACCATAAGTTGTAATAAGAGACAAGTTCCAACACAAATACCAAGTGATGGCCAATCACCTTTTCTCATGAATTAGATAGATATTGATTGATATCAATCAATATTGTTGACTGATTGACAAATATAAAGTGCGTCCTACACTTATCTGGAAGGCCAGTCAGCTTTATTTTCTTGAAATTCTCAATTTTAAGCTTAACATTTCTATCAGAAATGTTCAGCAAAACGCTCACCCTTTTCCAGCAGTTCAGCTTCATTGCTAAACCCTTAGCTTAAAATCACCAACATGGAGACTGAGTTCTTATCATCAAACCCTGTTGACAACAGACTTGTCACACATACACACATAACCCTTCAAAGACCCTTAAAGGGGGACCCAGGCACTGCTGGCCCCCATGTCCCTAGCCTCACCACTGATGAGCACCATTAGACATATTACCTGTTGCTGGAGACAACGTCTTCAGCCCAGTTGTGCTACTTGATGGAGGAACAGTGGTTGGTTTGGTAGCAGCCAAAGTAGTTGCAATGCTCACAGTGGTCTTGCTGGTTGGAGGGGCTTCAGAAGGACTTGTAACAGGGATGTTTTCTTCAGTGACTTTACCAGGTCTTGCAGTGGTGGGATCCACAGCTTCTGTGCTTTCACCAGTGGTATACATGTGCTTAGTGGCAGTGGGCGTTTGAGCTCTGTGGGCTTTCGTGGTGCTAGCATCACCTGGGGTTGGTTGGTAACTGGCCGGTGTTGTCAGCACAGGAGGTTTCACTGTCGTCAGTGCCACTGCAGGGATGATGACACTGTGGTTTGTTGCACTTGGTGAGGGACTAAGGGGTGCATCTGTCGGCGCAGCCCGTGGGGCATCACCAGCTGTGGTGGGCAGCAGTGTTGCCTTCCCAAAGCTGCCTCCTTGGGCAGTGGTGGCTCTCTGCGAGGTGGTCTCCATTACCGTCATGGGACCAGACACAGACATGATGCGTCCACCAAGCTGCTCCATGGGTGCTGTGGGGAGAGGAGGAGACCCGATGGAGGTGAAGGTGGTGCTGTTTTGGGGCTGGTGTGTGACAGTGTGCTTGTTGGTCCCTCTGGGCGAGCTCCCAGCCACAGCGGCTGTGGAGGGCACCCGCCTGACCACAGTCGTAGCTACAGAAGTGCTTGCTTGACCACTATCATTGGACTGCGAGATAGATGACGGTGATGAAAACAGAGGCAGTAAAGATGCTAACGAGTAAGATGGGGAAAGCAATGAGGAAGTGGGCAAGGAGGACGACAAAGCCTGCAGAGGGGGTGAAGATGCCATCACAGAGGACGAGAGTGGCTCAGATGACTCCGATGATGTAAACAAATAAGTTGGTGGTGGTGTTGATGACAGCAAGTGCTGCAGCGGTGACACTGAGGAAGAGCCTGGAAACGCAGATGAAGATAGCGATGATCTGCTGGTGGTCAACAACTCAGAGTCAGTGCTGAAGACAGTTGTATTTTGTACACTGCCTGCAGAAGCAGAAGTCAACTGTTTGGACGAGTGTACCAGCAATGGCTCTGTAGATGGTTCAACAAAACTGCTGTCACTGGATACGTTGCTCCTTCTGTCCTGTGCCACAGAAGACTTTGATGAATCAGAAGGGTTGGAAATCTCAGAAAAAAAGGTGGAACTTTCTGAGGAGTCTGCAGAGGTGCTGCTGTTCGAGATAGACAGGAGGGTCCTTTCTCCTCCTCTGGTATACGTTGTTGAAACATATGTGCCATCTGTATGAGAAACTGAGGTCCGTTTCTCAGCATCGATGCTACTGACAGGCTGATGGCTACCTGAAAAGCCTGGAGTAAAAGGACAAAATATATTAGAAAGACAGAGTAATATTAAAGTATTTTGATGTCACATTAAAATCATTTGCTAAATACATAAAATGTTCTTGTCTGTGAACTGGCTCATGCTATTCTAAAAATTTAGAGCGTCATCCAAGTGTGGGTATCAAATCAGGAGTCTTCTGCGCTCCTTAATTCATCCTAAAATGGTGAACTCAGACAGACACAAGGTTCCTGTGAAAGGTGCAGGTTTCTAAAACACTCTTCTTACAGTACTGCTTTTCTAATATGATTGAGCACTTATCGTTCCACAATATTTTGTGGCAAGCTAAGCAGGAAAACCTATCTCTTCTTTTTATCACTCATAATTTATAAAACTCATATCCCGTCCCTCTTATCCTTCATTCCCAACAGAAGAATATCCATCTTCTTCAATCATTTTGGTTTTAGACACAGTGAACTTCATGCCCCTCCAAGATAAAATGATTACAATATGTTAATTTGCAGCTTATCATGAACTCATTGACTGAAAACTTTGCACTCAGGAAATCCTAAATGAGTAGTAGCACATCAGTCTGCACAAAAATCAGATTATTTAGCATAAAAGGTCCAGTCAATCTTATAATACGAGTTTCAGGATGTACAGATAAATTCAGCAATCTCTAGAAATAAATTTTAAAAAAAGGGTACTGAACATTTGATTTAATTCTACAAATGACTTGGGTCAACATGAAACACTTCTGAAAACATGACCCACAAGAAACCTGTTAGAATGTAAAAAAATAATGCGGCCATCAAAACAGGAGAGTTTCCCTGCTCAGGCTCATGGTTTCACTTCTGAAATGATTCCCCAGCCAGGTGGGGTCTGGCTTTGAGTCCTTGGATGAAAACACCCCCCAAAGTGTACCCACACATGGCATTGCATGTACCAATGAACAAGAACTCTGTATACAACATAGGTAAAGGCACCACAGTGTGAACTTCCGCCCCCAAAAGGTATGCTGGGAGACACTAACTTGTAAGGTCATTTTGGAAAGAAGAATAAGTGGGCATCTTGGAAGAACGGGTGAAGAGCGCCTCTGTTTCAAAGTCTGTGAAGCCCACGCTGCCGGCTGAGGCACCGGCCATCCCACTCTGCTCCACCGACGTTGGCTGAGCCAGCCCTGGAGAGCTGGCGGTTTCGGCATAGGGAGCAGAGCTCTCGGTGCCACCGGCCAGCACCCCGTCTGTCACCGAGGGCGGCATCCTTTCTCTACCTCCAGTAGACACGGATGAACTGTACGCAGGATCAGTGATGGGGCTGGACCGCCTTTCCTCGGCACTCGAGCTGCTTAGTGAGCGATGGCTGCTGCCCACGGCTGGAAGAAGATTGAAAAGCAGGCATCTCATTTTATCATCTCAGAGCAGACAGTACTTGCGGTTTCTACAATAATTCTATTTTGAAATGCAGTTTAATAAAATTGCACAGATAAACAGATTAAATACAGATTAAGTAGATCTCACATATCTATCAGCCTAAATGTGAATTTAACAAAGTGTACTCCAAAGAAACAGCACTGTCCAAATACAAAGGGACAACCGGTACCATTAGACTCATAATGGCATATTTATGCTATTTATAATTATTACCCCAACCCAGGCAGGTAGTAGATGTGTCCTACAGCAAGAAGCTACACATCTCATTCCTGAGACTTTTTTGTTAAGCACCAACAGCTGCAGATATACAATACCAAGGAACAGAATCACCACTGCTTATAAATCCTGCCCACAACACCCGCAACAGCTCTGACACGTGTTGGTGGTCATATCAACTCCATGGAAGAGGGGGACAGAGAGGCAGTGAGGTTTTTCCTAATTCAAACACCATCCCGGAGCTCAGAAAAACTCACTGGAAGGTTCATCGGTGGCTGAGAAGTAGGTGGAGACCCTTGATGAAAGGGTGACCTTGGGCTCAGAGTACCCTGCTTGGACAGATGAGACGTGTCCCGCTCCAGGCCATGCTGTGGAGGATGGGAGGGGGCCGGTGCGGGGCTCCCCGGCCATGTCCGGGTGGGACATGGGGCTTGACGCTGCTGTGCTCCATGTGCCACGGTTAGCTGCAGTCTGAGATGTCCCCTCCCCGCTGCTGGAGAGTGCAGTTGAGATGTATGTGGTCTCAGTAGGAACACCAGAAAGTCTTCTACCTCTCTCTGGAATTGCAAAGCAGAGATATACATATATATATATATGTTTTATATTAATAATACCTTTGAGAGCTCTACAGGGACTAAAATCTGAACATTTCAATTCCCACAGTGGAGGTGGCGCTCAGTTACCAACATCACTTATTTACTAAGAGGTGCTCCCAGGTGATCTGTACTTTTCCCCTTTACAGCAGAAAAATAAAACAGATTGGGGTGCATGGCGTTTCTGACGGAGAATGGTGGCAGGGAGGTAGGACCTGGTCTTGGACGTCCT